TGCTTTAGTCTGTCTAGCGACTCTATCCACGAGTGACTTAATTCGTTAACCATGGACAGGTCCTGGTTCAAAATGAGTATATATGAAATCTACTAAATTTTAGAAAAATTAAATTTTCCTCAGATCCACTCTCTAGAAAAACTATAGAGTACGGTTTAGAATTTGCACTCAAAAGCAAGGACTCTCTCGCGCGCTCTGCGCGCATCTTTTCTAGGTCCTAGAAGAACTCTAGAAAAAAAGCGCGCATTAGACGACGAACGTTTGTTTGGCGATGGCGCCACCAAACAAACGGCCTAGTTCTCGATGTTGAGAAAAAGCTTCCATGGACCCGAAGTCGTCCCGCGTCTATGTTTATGACAGAAGATCACATGGCATCATCCGGTGGTGAAAGTTCTTGAGACATGGGCGGAGTATGGAGCGAGACGATAGACAATGGTCACCGACGACGGTCACCGCCTATTCAGCACAGAATGCCACCCTGAGTTCTGCTATCAATGGCCTATTCCGCCGTCGCCAGCCCGACTTGCCCCCAATCACGTGGTCGGTCGACCTCGCTTGCTGATGTGCTTGACTCTATGGATGTCGCACTCGATACTCTTTCGGGTGCGAAAAGCTTCCCTCTTTCCGCCTGCCATAGGCCATTCGCCGTCCCAGCCTTGTCCTCTCGCGTGCTCCCTCGAAGGTCCCCCTTTGCGACCTAGAATATCAGACAGCCCAAAAGCGTAAGTCACTGGACTCGACATTACAAACACTACGGTCGCTAGACTCAACACTCTCGGATTCCTTTTCTCGTCGTGGTCGCCTATCGGTAATATTTGTCAATTTGGCCGACTATGTACTACGTCAACGTGGTAGATGAAAGTCGGCAATCAGGGACTAAGATACCTAGTGGCATAATGCGAAACTCACTCGACGATAGCGAGCGGCGTTCGCTGCTGACGTAGCGTCATAACGGACTTGGAGCGCTACTCATAAATGTCGGGAATACCACAAGAATTACGACGTCGAAATGCCAACAACAATAACAATTCATAACGAAACACTACCACGGGAAATGACGTACTATAATGTTTATTCTGTAGGGTTCGACACATGCATTTACAAACGGCGACTGTCAACGAAGCACGAGAAGTAAGTAGTTCGAAGCCTGTTATAAGAGAGAGNAAAAATGTTTTTTCCCTCCCAGAGCTACCAGCGCAGCGCCCGCCAGATCTGTATGTACTGGCAGGGCCGATTTTTGGCATAGGCGGTCGCCTAGGGCGCCAGATCTGGCGGGCGCTGCGCTGGTAGCTCTGGGAGGGAAAAAACATTTTTGACCGTTGGCGCTCATCCAAATTTTCGGCCTTGATGTAACAACATTCATAATTAAGTACATTTAACACCCTTTTCACCCCGGTTACACTTTTCATTAGCCCTGTACCATGGGCGCTGTAAGTGATGAAAGTGGGGGATGTTGGCTTATCAGGCGCCCGCAGCTCACAGCCAAAGTGCGAGCGTGGGAGCGACAGAGCGAGCGAGGAAGAGGGCGCACCGGTACCGGCGCTGTTGTTATTGGAATCTGGTGCTAGCTGCGCTAACGGATATAAGAAGTAGATGTTTCTACAACCAGGGTGGAGGAGAGCTCTCCTGTCAGACGGAGAGGCTCAGTGAGGTTAGGGACTCTCTGAGTGTTTAGATAGTTAATTTTAGTCTAAGTTATCTCAGTGGGTCTCAAACAAATATGTGTTTACAAATTATGTAAACACATATTTCCAAGGCACTCCTTTATAATTATTAGGATAAATAAAAACAGGTTTGAAATCATTCCAATGTATACTATAGGAAAGTAAACCAAAAATATCGTTTAAAGTTGGAGATACACAAAAATATGCATAAATTAATAAATGTTAACTGGGTAAAATAAGATATAAATGAACAAAAATAAAATAAGTTACATTTATTTGTTATTGGCTATGGTAGGCTATTGGTTATGTTCATATACTTATTTGATTATTAAAATATAAACCGATCTTTTTCATATGGGAGTTGTACCCCCTGGATCAGGTCTCTAGTAATTGTGTGCTCAAAGTGCACCAGATTGAAGCATTTTACTTTAAAATGTTAAAAAAAATCTTCCCGGTGGGGCATATCCCCGGACCCCCCTAGAGGATGTGACGTGTCAATAAGTTGTGTATTTGTCTTTTGTAGAGATTTTTAATTTGTTCTTTATATATAACATCTCGCCTAGGGCAGCAAATTGGCTAGAACCGGCCCTGCTACTAGGCCTCAAGAGCCTTTCTTGTGCTGGCAGACACAAAAACAAATGTTTATCCTCGATTGGAAGGTTGTTGGTTCGATCCCCAGCAGTCACCATGTGTCCTTAGACTAGATACTTAACTACACATTTCTCCCGATGCCCTTGCACCTTGTAAAAGCAGCCTCTGCATGAATGGGTGAATGCTGACTTGTAAATCTAAAAGCACTGAGGGGTTGCAAAATCTGGGAAAGAGTTATATAAAAGCAGACCTTTTACCGTCTACGACAACCTTTTATTTAGTCTGTATTGTTTACAAAGCTGTTTGTTACACCACATGTTTTTTTTTTTATTAAACCAGAGGCGTGCTGTTACGGTTGAGTGAAGGAAGCAGGACCCAAATGCAGATAACTCTGATTAACCTTTATTTCAAGGATAAATAAAAATACTTGGGACAAAACAGACCACTCACCGGTGAACTCAGTCACAAACAAAAGACGAACCAACACTGAACACAGGAAGAGACAAGACTAAATACAGGGAGGGGTAATCACAAGACGAGAAACAGCCGGGCAGGGGAGGAGACACACCAGGGAAACTAACGACAGGGAGGAAAAACACAGGGAAAAGGACCAGAGAATATACCAAGAGGAAAACATGACAGGGAGAACAGCAAAACACCCAAAACAAGACATACAAAACGTGACATAACACAATAATCGTAACACGTGCTCTCCTACCTGTACTACATACGGGTCAGGAAGCTGAAACAAATAACAGTTCATATATGATGTGATATGATGTAATAAGACTAACAGTGCCATGGACTCTATGCATTTCTCTGAATACTTTGCTCCGGTTAATGATGTTCTGGGTTATTATGACATATTTAAGTAAGCTTGCAAACCAAAAATGTAATTAAAAACAGATTGTTCTGTAAATGGGCCGTAATACTATATTAATTTAGTCAGCGATTTAGTATTTGTCAGTTTAATCCTTAAACTGTGTTTCCTTGAGCCTGGAATATGACATTATATCCTTAAAGTCTGTGCACTGAGCTCTGATTGAACATAACTGCTCTGCAGCTGGTCAGCAAGTAAGAAGTCAACCAGTGTCGTAGGACAAACAATTCAGAAATAACCCTGGAGTGACCTCACTAACCCCAAATCCTGTTTCGTAGCACTGGTCACAGAACTGTACCAATTGGGTTTTTGTTTAATATATAAACTCCACCTGGAACCAAGTTTGAGACCCCCAATTTCGGACCCTAACATGATCGAAGAAATGGCCAAAATTCCCCCCGCCCTGGTGAATCTAAAAGTCCTGGAAGTCACCATGCACAACCTTGGAGGTGTTGAATACTCACTCAAAGCATTATAGAAATGACTTGACTTTGTTAGAGCTACTTAGTAAACAGTTTTTATGACATTGATTCCTCCCAGAGAAGTTGCCTTCACACGGCTGTGTTTGAGCAGTGGTCTTCTCTCCAGAGGAAGCTGTTTCTCTTGCTCTCACTGAGGCTCCGCTCGGGGGTCTCTGGAGACGCTCCTGCTTTGTTCCAGCACTTTGTATCTTAAAGAAAAGGTCCTATACAGATATGCCACTATTATTATCATCACAATTTATTCCCATGGGTGATGAATAATACATGGGGAGTTTGCTTATATCAAACTGAATGGATGTGAATGTGTGTAACATTTAGAGTGTAAACACATTATTATACATAATGCCATGTCGTCGTTGACAGCATGGTTCATGTACAGTACACTGCAGTGACATCTATATTAGTCCGTTTATAGATTGGGCCTTATGGATTCAATCATCCATGTCAAACTGTAGCCATAGTAACAACATTTGTTCTGCTTTCTCTCCCATGGACTATTATGGGAGGCGTCTTTATTCTCCCTTGTTTGTTTACATTCAGCAGACAATGGTGCATACAGATCAACATTATAGCCAGAACCATTTGTAGGAAACAGTGAAGGACAAACATCTTAACTTCGTTTTGTTTAAAAATAAAATGTATATCTGTTCACTGACCCCAAATCATTTGTGGAATTTCTATCAGGCCTTTCAGAAGGAGGATTTATTTTGTCTCATCGAACATTTATTTTACATTATATATTTTTGAGCAGCCTTTTTCTCATTTGAAGCTTCTTACATACACTCAATACCATAGACATGCCTACAGGAGCAATTTGGGATTAAAGAGGCCCGGTTATGCTTTTTAAGGGTGTTCCCTTTCCTGTAGAGTTTGATAGGTTGTTGTGCATGTAAATGGCTGCAAAGCCTCTCGGTGTTCCCTCCAGAGGGAGTTTCTCTCCCACCCAAGTAACTTTCATGATCTGACGATGAAAGTACATCAAAATGTTTTATCCACGTTGACAACAAGTGTGTTTGGAGCTTATTATTTGGGTTGTTGCCCACAGTGAGAATAATTCAAGTTAAACTTGGACCGCATCATAACAAAAAAGTGCTTCCTGTACCTGACAATGAAGATTTTGGTCCCTTTTGAAATACATTGAGCTGCTGTTCTATGGTAATGCTATTAGAATTCAATTATATATTTTTGATATCCCTCTATCCAAACGTTTTTCTCCCTACTGTACATGAAAAAATGGGCTTTGTGTTGAAATGATAATGGAGAGGAAAGTGATTGTGATTTCCCATTATTTAAGTCTTATTGGATTTTTAAAACATGCAAACTTCATACATATGCTTTACTTAATGAAAGGTGTGTTGATTATTTTGTTTTGTGTGATTTTAGTTCTTATATGCACTGCAAGTGGGCCACTCTGGAGGAGCTGGAGAAAGATCCCAGAATCCACCAGAAGATTAAACGCTTCAGGACCAAACAGGCTCAGACCAAACATCTGTTCACAGAGGTAACCATTCATCCACCCCTGTATTCTGTCCAGGCCTATCTCCTCCTTTCAAACCTGGCTGGACACATTTCTATTTAATAATGTAGCAAAGCTGTTACTGACAGTAGTTATTGGAAACATGTAAACGTGATTACTTCAGGGTCATAATGAGGGTCACACTGTCTCATAATTAAGATCCAGTGTCGCTGCAAAATGTTGAAAGTGCTGGAAAGGTCAAAAGGTTAACTCCATCATACTGTAACCAAGGCAACACTAATATTTAGAAGCCTAATTTGCCTTCAACGACTAATTTCAATTTTATGGTAGTGTTTTTTAGACTTCATTATTTTCCTATATCAAGGCTATTTTTAATAAGTATTGTTAAATCTCATTCAGAACAACACTGTTGAATAAAGAGATATTACAAATTGTAATAAGCGTTTGCTTTTATTATAATAAGGCTATTTGTTGAATGGAAGCTATTGAAAAGAATGGAAACTATTCATATAAAAAATGATAATCATCTAGCAAAACATTGAAATGTTGCGTTGATTCTGTGGCATATGTTCATATGATATGAAAACAATGGGAAAGATAGACATTTAAATAATGAAATTGAATTTTCAAAACAATATTCGGATAGAATTAATCCTAAAAACATAGATGCTAGTCTTACTCGTTATTTTACCTCTCTACACAGCCTTTAGAGTGGTGCAGGAAGTTCTTAAACTTGGAAATGAGTCAGTATTTTACCACTGAATAGATTTCTGTGGTCAACACAAGCTCAACAGATTTTAAAGTGTTGTTCTACAACAAAAAATACGTCAGTAAATAATGCACTCATCCTCACATCGAGCATTAGCCACCTTTGCATATAGGTGACCTGAAGTCATACAACTGTGATTTAGTATATTTATACTTCTAGCCATTGCATTTACGCTTCAGAAATCATATAGTGGTGTTAATATGTGGAGATTATTGTGTAAGTATCATAAACGTGTGTTGGCCAGAAATCCTAGTTTTTGCAATATTCCAAAAACCAATGGACAGATCCCATTGCTATTTCTTGAGGGAGCCTTGATGTTGCTGACTTCTGGGTCAGGGTACACAAATATGTCATCACTGCACCACTCTATTGCTTTATAAAATAGTTCCATGACCTGATAATTAATTAATGCTGAATAATGTTGTTGTTCCATCTCTATGTGTCCCCTACTCCAGTCCGATGAGGACTTATTTAACCCGGACTACGTGGAGGTGGACAGAGTGCTGGAGGTGGCTGTTACTACAGACACTGATACTGGAGAGGTCTGTACAGGAGCACTAAACACACACACACACACACACACACACACACACACACACACACACACACACACACACACACACACACACACACACACACACACACACACACACACACACACGCACACACACACACAGCAGCGTTTGTCTGGATTGTAAATGGTCACCACTGAAGGTCCTCAGTGTGGGGGTGCACTCTTATTCCTGTGGCATGTTTTCCCGTGTGTTATCGTAGGAGGTGACCCACTACCTGGTGAAGTTGTGCACTTATTTCCTGTGGGCATTGTTTCCCGTTGTGTTATCGTAGGAGGTGACCACTACTGGTGAAGTGGTGCGGGCCTCTCGTAGGCGACGGAGGCCACCTGGGAGCTGCAGGAGGACCTGGACCCCGAAGAAGATCACAAGGCAGGTTCGAAAGATCCAGAAACACTACCCCGCCTGACCTCAGGCACATGCCTGCCCGCAGAGACATACTAACGAGAGGGACTGCAGTTGATACATATATTTATGGAGAGCAAAATATGTAGAAAGCTATCTTGTTTTTAGTTTTTTTTTTATTTTTTCTTTAAAGTGCGACATTCAACCCAAGGCTGGGAATTCGCGTCTACTAGTTAGAACAGATCGAGCCATTCGGCGTTTTTTTAAGATAAGAGGACTCAGCTCTGTTCGCTCTCAGCTTTTAAACTTTTTCACTGTGGAGGTGTTGCAAAGCTTCTCCATCTGCAGGTGCCCTCAATTATACACCTGCTCTACCTCACGCTGTTTTTTGAAAAACTGGATCCAAACGAACTGAATATGCTTTACACTTCAAATCTGTACCAGCGAACCCATGTTAGCTGATCAGGACCCCTCTGTATTCAGTGTTGATTGGGGTTCATCAGCCGTTAACTGTTATAGGCTATGGAAGCCTATTTCCACGAGCGTAAAAAGGAATACGATTTGAACTTGTGATATATAAGAAAGCCTCATGTTAGTCATTATAATAACCAGCTTACTTGAAATGATGACTTGGTAATTTGGAGATAACAATAAACTTTGTCAGATTACATGACCCAAGTGGTCTAAAATAATTAATTAGTATCTCAAGATTTTCTAGAAATTAATGATTTACTTAAAGGTGGGTAGGTTAAGTTTGAGAAACCGCTCGAGATAACACTTGTTGTTATATTCCATGGAATGCTCTTAACATCCCGGTAGCAATGAATATCTGAGTGCTCTGACAATAAATCCATAACAAAAAAAGGTCATCTGTGGAACTAGTCTGTAAAAATGTACGACCAATCATCTGACCGGCCCGCTAAAGTTACTGGATGCTACCCTGCCTGTCACTTCCATCTGCACAAACTTATCGTGCCCTCATTGGTCATATGCGTGTTCATGTTGGAGGAGGGGCTCCTGTGAGGAAGTGAAGATTTTTCCTGTGTGTATTTTCAAATTCTAGCCGCCACTCGAGCTGAGTTTCTCCAAAATTACACCAATGTGTTATCATCCCTAGTAGTACCTTGCTTAAGTCAATTATTTTCAGATACTAAGAGCAATATTGTTAATATTGTTGAGTCATTATTGTGAGAAAGTGTTCAAAGTGTTCTTGTCTAATAAGTCATTATTTGAGATAAGCCTACTTATAAGCGTTGTTATGTTTGAAAGTAATTCTTTAGATAAGTGGTCATTACACTCAAACATTAACATTGTTCGTTATTAGATAAGTTGAATGCATAAACATTTCCAATCTGAAGAACCTAAGTAACAACTTCTGGAACAAGTTGAATATACAACGCGCTCAATGCCATCGAATGAACACTTTAACATACTATAAGTCTTTCAATTGGAAAATGTAAATTGAGACAGTATCCTTCAATAGGTCTATCAAGAGTGAGTGTGCATCTAGCCAGGTGTAGCTTCGTGTGTGATGTGTGTGTTGTGTGTGTGTTGTGTGTGTGTGGCTCGTAGGTGTGAGTGTTTGTGTGTGTGTTTCACTTGCACTGTAGGAGAGCTAAGCTTCACATTCTCGTACACAGATTCGTAGCACTCGTCTCCATGAAGGGGCACCTCCAAACTCCTGCAGACACAACACTTTCTGTGATCCAGGTGTGTGTGTGTGTGTGTGTGTGTGTGTGTGTGTGTGTGTGTTGTGTGTGTGGTGTGTGTGTGTGTTTGTGGTGTGTGTGCGTGCGTGGCAAGAGCGCCGTTGTACGTTGTGTTGTGTGTTAAAGGTAGGCGGAGACGGGTATGAAGAGAGCTGCTGAATCATCAATACCACATATAAGTCCACATGTGTTTTGATTAGTGCGAACTTTCAAAAAGTAGTTTCTTCTCAGCGATAACTTTTCTGTAGTCGATAAAATGACAACATGCTCTGGTTATAGTATATCTCAATCTGTTTACGTGTGGTGCGTGTGTGTGTGTTGTGTGTGAT